AAAACGATGGCTAGAGACAGATCCCAGCGCACAGCACTTTTAAGCCGTGGACTTGTAAGCTTGTTTCCAGCGCACACCAAGCAGGCACAGACGTCAGGCTACAAGCTCAATGCATCTTGAACTCGGCAAGCATCCTAGCATGAGCCGAGTGCCCAGAAGAATCCAAGAATCTACGAAGGCCACCCTAAAGCCCTAATTGGGCCCTACTGCAGGGGCCCCAAATGGACAGAGAGCCTAGGACTGAGGTCCCAACGGCTGGCAGAACCAACGGTGGAGCCTCGGATCCGAGGCGTTTAGAGCCATGCGCTCTCGATTTCTGCACTTAGCAAAGAGCTGCTTCTCAAACCCCAGACCCCGTAAGACCCTAAGACCCTAAGCCCTTAAACCTTGCTTCTCAAGAAGCTTCCTGTTTTACTGCAGTGTTTAGGGGCAATGAAATGTCATACTTTGTGAGGCAATCTGGGCAGAGTTGTATCGGCTGCGAGGGCTTCCAGCATGTGGACCTTGTCGACGATTGTAAGGCTGTAAGACCTAGAAGTGTTCCAGGCTGTGCAAGTCGACGAGTACATGTACCTAGGAGGCGTTTATGGGGCTTTCCGTGGTCTTGAAGTCCTTCTGCTCTCCACGACCCCTTTGATTCACGCTCACCAGCTCCAAAACGTCACAGAATGTCACAAACCATGCTGGACCCAATTTACTGTACTCTCACCCGGGATCCTAGGCCTCAAGCCCCCATTACCTCAACCGCCTTAAACCCTTCACTCCCCAAGTAAAGGAGCCTCGAAAGCTTTCTGTGGCCCAGGCCGTGCATCGTGCCTCCAACGGCCTTACAATCGGCGCTCGCGGGGGCGCCGGTCGCAGGAGGCTCACAGGCGCCTGAGGAGCTTCAGCGAGTGGCTTTCGGGCTTAGGGTCTTGGGGTCTGGGTTTCGGGCTGTGGGTCTTACGACGTAGGATTTGGTCGCGAGCTTCGGGCAAAGGGTGTGGCTTACGGCTTTGAGGGATAAAGTTTTACAGTTTGGGGTGGTGGGCGTCGGACTTAATGCTTGCCTCGAGTCACCTAGTTGGAAGATGTCGTGTCTTTTGCTCTTGTGGGTCTTTGTTGTTTGAGCCGAGTTGGAACGCTATGATTGCACTGTTGCAAGGTTGGTTATTGCTCAAGGTCGTCTGCAGGATTTCGCGTGCTTACCGATTGACCTGATGGGGCCCCAGATAAGGTTACCATCAAACAAAATGCACGGGCCTCAGCATCAGCGAATGGATAAACGCTCAAGCCGTAAGCAAGCAAAGTCCCCAAATCCCACTACCCCCGCAGGCAAGACTAAAGCCCTATCAGAACCGTCTCCTCTCCAATGCAGGCGCTAAGTAGTATGCATGAAGTTCCTTTGGACTGGAGGCTGGCAGAATCTGTGGTCATGAAGATTTCTCGAGGGTTAAAGAAGTTTCTGGTGTCAAGTCCTCATGGGAGTGATTTGGGCTTAGGCTTCTACGACATCCTCTGCACCGTTGCGGATCATGTCGCCATGCAAAGATCCTGCCAATCATAGCAAGCAGCTTAGCGATAACCGACTGAACCTGAACAGCTCTGAGGCTATATGACCTCCTTGCAGACCTTCGTACTGACGAAGCGAAGCGCCATGAAATACTACTGGAAAACACACCGTATAGGCCCGGACTCGAAACCATCAACCACAAACCTTTTGCAAAGCAAATCGGGTGCACGGTCAACACCATGAAAGATTGAGCTCACAGGAAGCACCAGAAAGCAGGTCTAGAGCCTAGAGCCGGAAACTCGAGGACCCGACATAAAGCATCCCGCCCCCCTCCCAAAACTCTGACCACTCCCAGCATAGAAGCCCAAAGCGGTCCTCAACCCCTATAACTCTGTAGTAAAACCATGGGCCCATGGATAGCAGCGGGGAACTCCAGGGAAAGTTGCGCGCTTTGATTCCTTATGCTTTACCCTGAGGGAATGGAGATACGGATCTTCAAGCTTTCGGCCTCCATTTCTGAAGGCGCTGAATGAATGCGAGAATATACCTTAACGCGCCATAACGTACTCTAACATAATGACAACCTGTAACCGTAGTAGAAAAGAATAGAATAGAACAGAATAGACTGGAAGTAAGTCCCCGGCCACAGCTCCAGGCCATGAGGCGTGTCGGCTCCAAGTATCTGCCTTTAGTTCAGGGCTAAGGCCATTGCTTGGTTTTCTGTCGCGACTTTATGCCATCTTCAGGCTCATGGCCTGCAGGGTTCGGGATTAGCAAACTACTACAAGTAACTCATGTTTAGGGTGTTGAGGATCAGGCTTTTAGGCCCCAGGCCTTATACTTATACCCGATTCTACGCCTGCAAGAAGCGAATATCTAGAGAAGCGTTTCCCGAGAGCACCAGGCAGCCACTTGTCAACATCTGGGCCATCTGCAGAAAAAAAGACGTACGAAAGCCTTTGCGAGGCCCGAAAAGCCCTTAACACTCTAACACCCTAGATCCTATATTTCCCTCAATACAACCCCAAAATCCTAGTCAAAGACTCTCAAAGCCCTCCAAGGGCCCAGGCGACGCCGGACCAGGAGGTGGTTGCAAGCTCAGCAGCTTCCCAGCCTGCTCAGGGTTCACAGCCACACGTGCGCAAAACACAAACACACATCGGAGGTACTTGCGAATTGAAAGCAACGCTTTACGGGTGTGCGCTGGTATGCCAATATGGGTTTAGAGAACCGCTAGTGTCCTCGTGGTGGTCGTTGTCGTCGTCGCGGTAGTAGCAGGAGTACAGTAGTAGTAGTAATTAGTAGTAGTAGTAGTAGTAGTAGTAGTAGTAGTAGTAGTGGCAGCAACAATACTAGTAACTGTTGTTGTTGCTGTTGCTGTTGCTGTTGCTGTTGCTGTTGCTGTTGCTGTTGATGTTGATGTTGCTGTTGCTGCTGTCGTTGTTGTTGNNGTTGTTGTTGTTGGTGGTGTTGTTGGTGTTGTTGGTGTTGTTGGTGTTGTTGTTGTTGTTGTTTTTGTTGTTGTTGTTGTTGTTGTTGGTGGTGGTGTTGTTGTTGTTGTTGTAGTCGTCGTCATAGCAGTAGTGGTAAATGGTTTTACGGTTTTACGTGTGTAACCGATCGAATGAAGCTTTAGGCGCGGCTAAGTCGATATAGATTTTAGATAGCAGCTACTGTCGTCGTGCTCGTCGTCGTCGTTGTCGTGGTAACAGTGGTAGCAGTGGTGGCGGTAGCAGTACCAGTAGCAGTAGCATTAGTCGTAGCAGAAGCAGCAGCAGCAGCAGCAGTAGCAGCAATAGTAGTGGTGGTGGTGGTGGTCGTGGTAGCGGCTGTTGCGGTGGCAGTGGCAGTGGGCAGTGGCAGTGGTAGTGGTAGGAGTAGTGGTAGCTGCAGTAGACATGCATGAGCCGGGATCCCGACTTTGCATCTTTCAGCAGCTGTACACGCTTTCGGCGTGTTCCTGAGCTAAGGTGACTGTAATGCCTACAACAGCTCTTGGTAGGGCTGCAGGGCTCTATAAATCCGTTAAGATTTTCAGAGGATCCAACACGATGTGGCTTTAGCACATATCCCGTCTATATGGGTCTGAGGCCTTGGTCTCCATCTACTTGACAGAGTGGCTGTATGGAAGCAAGGTCGAACCTGAGAGACACTACTTAAGGAGATGTGCCTGTGCTGAAGCTTGTAAGCTTAGGATTTTAAGGACCGCTGCAGAAGCTGAAATCATTGCATTTCAGCGGAGGCCTTATAGTTAGAACACTGCAGCTTGGATTGTACCTTACACGATGAGGCAGACCGGTGGGTAGGTGCAGACCTCAAAATGCCAAGACCTTCAGGACCTTCAAGTGAATCTAAAGCGTCGAGCATCAAGCAGAAGGGGACCTCCGCAGAACTGAAAGAAATCCCTCTCAGCCCTCGGCGAGGTGCCTAGGGGCTGTGAGCGTCGGTAGCACGGTGTCAGTGCTATCTCCGAGCCAGAGCACAAATGGTAAGAGGCAATCTGGATGCTCAAACTTTTCAGAAACCACTCAAATCAAAGTGCTTGAACTACCAATGCTCAGCCCCGAACCTTCAGGGTCATGTCAAGCAGTATATCAGGCGATCATCACGTTTGACCCCCCTGTAACTGCGACTCTCGAAGAACGTAAACATCTGGGAACCACCGCCAGTTTCCCTAAAGCCCAAAACAAATGAAACAGGAGCTCTGTAAGCTGAACGCCCTGGGCAGTGAGCCCTGAAACGGGAAGCTTTAACTCTTTCGACAATCCTCCACAGTAACTCATTAGTACCAGTGTTTGCCCCTCTATACAAAAGGAGCAGTGTGGAAACAGTAGCAACGGTAAGAGCCAACCGTGTTTATTCAGCACCGACGCAATCACAGTATTCACGACAAGAGGGGGGCCGTTCTGGTAACCAAAGCTGAACAAACATCAGACCATGGTATTGCAAGCAGGGATATCAAGCAACAGCAACAACGGCAGCGGGGAAAAGTTTTAATTCTTGATGATGACTACGGAGTTTGTGATGGCGACAGCAAAACCTCAAGCTTGGATGGTAAACCATAGCCGTCGCCACGATCCTGGCATCCTAAAGCCCAAGCACTCCATGCCAGCCCCGGTCGAAGACCCTTCTCTGAACGTTGACCCTGTAGCTCGGCGTTTGGGTGTAGAATTACGGAGGCAGAGCGATGGCAGGTATGGACTGTGTCCATGGCTCTTTGCCAGGAGCTTTTACACCCACAGCACTCAAGCCCGGAAGATCGCAGCTTCAGATGCTGATGTCGGGATTGGAGACGAAGGCTCCTCAAGCCTTGCATCCATGATGCTAACGTTTCAAACCCTGAAGCCAGACTCCAAAGCCGAGGTGGACTCAGGGTCGAGAACCATACTCTGCACCCAAGTCGCCAAGAACACTCAAAATGGACTCCGTCTCCCGACTGTTGAACTGGTCTCAGGGAGTGAACGCGTCCAGGCTCTGCTGAAGCGAGATTGTGATGCAGCCTTCGTCTTCACAGAGCAACAAGGATTTTGATGGACGAAGCTCTGGCTGATTGCAAACCTTGCGATGAAGTCGCTAGAGAAGAGGGTGCCGAGGCAAGTGACGGAGAAGTAAAATGTAGCAGGAAGTCCAACCTCCCCTCTGCATGGTGCACAACTTCGATCCTGCCCGTGGCAAGGACCGGGACTGAGCTGTCGCATCCGTCCAGTAACACTTCGAGGTTCTGAAAGTTCAGCTCCTTGTGGCTCACTGCAAATCTCCGGTCGGCACGCACCTGGACCCAAGCCTTCCGAAGGAAGTCAAGCTCCGCTGGCCCAAAGATCTCTTTCAACGGCTTCCCTGCCAAAGCACTGATGGAGGCTGACGTCGCTTGCAACCGGTCCATGTCCTGCGCTTTCGGCACCATGCAAAACCGGAAACCCTCAATGCTTTGGAACCTCGGAATCAGGAGTGAATTCCGCATCACAAAACAGGAGGAGAAAACATGAGAAGGCAAAGGAAAAGCAAGTGCCTAAGAAGAGAAGGAAGAGAGCAGAAACTGTTGGGAAGCAAATTGAAAATGTGTAGAATATAGTAACAAAGGTAACAGCAGTAGTTTGTCGGCGTCGTCGCCATCGTCGTCGTAATGGTAGTGGTGGCGGTAGCGGTAGTCGCAGTGGTAGTGGAAGCCCTAGCGGCAGTAGCGGCGTTGCTGGTGGTGGTGTTGGTGGTAGTGGTGGTAGTCGCATTGGTGGTAGTGGTGGTGGTACTGGGTAGCCGTAGTGGTCGTGGTAGTGATGCTGGTCTCGTAGTAGCAGTAGTAGTAGTAGTAGTAGTAGTAGTAATAGTAGGCGCCCCCCCCCCCCTACCA